CCGGTACCTCTGCAAAATACAAGTTTCTAGGTTTGAAGGACAATGAAAATGTAGACCCAGCAGCCGGTACCTCTGCAAAATACAAGTTTCTAGGTTTGAAGGACAATGAAAATGTAAACCCATCAGCCGGTACCTGTGTAAAATACAAGTTTCTAGGTTTGAAGGACAATGAAAATGTAGACCCATCAGCCAATACTTCTGCAACATATGGATACTCTACTACGGGTGGTTCAACGGTAGGAATCAACACTGGTGAAGACACAGATAAATCGTTAAGTAGTGGAACTGATGGAGCCTCGTCTGATACATCAAATGGCAGTTATAAGGATGAGTTACCAGAAAAGGAAGCCCAAAATACTGAAACCACAAATGGTCTAGGAGAACCTGGAAAGAAAGATGAAGCGCCACTTGGTTCCGGGGAAAGTTCCCGTTCTAGTGTAACCAAAACTGAGACGGAAGAATCTTTTTTTTATTCGTTGTATAAGTACCTAAATCCAAAGGCTGGCGAAAGTGAGCAGAACAAGGATTCATCTTCTGAAGGGTGCACAAATACTTACCCTAAGGAAAAGGAATCCCAAGAGGTGAATCAAGAACCCAATGCTCCTTTGACGTATCCACCTGCTGCTATCAATTTGTATGAGACTGAAACGACAGGAACAGGTGCTGCGTCAAATGCCAGTTCTCATGTTGGATTAGAAGACGAAACTAAGGGAAAACAACCACCAGCCGTTTCTTCAATTGAAAAATGTCCTGTTATAGAACAACCTGAGAAATTAGATGCAAAAGTTGAAGAAGGCAAAGTTGAAGAAGGAAAAGTTGAAGAAGGAAAAGTTGAAGTGAAAGAAGGAAAAGAAGAGTTTGGAGAATCTAAAGATAATTCTCAACATGAAAGTCCTTCAAATAGTTTAGAAGAAGCGGAAAAGTCAAAGGATACAAAAGAATCAAGTGAAACTAAGCCTAATGACTTACCTACAAATAAAGAAGAGACCAAGGGAGATAAGTCAAAGGACGCATCATCAGTTAGTTTAAAGGAATCCTCCACAGAAAAGTCTGAGGAAATAGTAAAGATATATGGGGGAGGTTCAAATTCGACATTAAGTAAAAAAGACCAAAAAAAGACGAAGAAGGGTAAAAAAGAATCAAGC